GACCACAACAATAAGAGCATAATCAAGTACTACTACTAGTAGTAGTGATAAATTATGCGTTTGGAATATTTTCACAAAATGCGGTAATGTCTCAGTGCGCTATACAATAAACATGATAAATACAGAAATATATCAAAAATATTAAGCTGAATGCCACATGATTCTTGCATTGAATGTAATAGTGTACAATCACTAGTTGAACTTGTAGAAAAACAGCTGAATGGATATTAAAAATTCCTATGCATTTAAAGTTAGTGGGCACATGTCATTTGGCTTCGTTATTTACATCAACAGACAAAATTACCAACTCAAACATTATCAGACAAGATTGTTTTCCCTTTCAAAATAAAAATCATAAAACATAAATCAAAACAAACCTCATGTAAAACATGCAATAGTTCATACACAAGAGATATTGGATAAAACAGATATTATACAGTATTTGTGAATTAAAACTGTACGAATAGATACATTTCCTTCATTTCCCATCTGTGGATACAAATTAAAAATGTTTACCATAAAACTCCCGTGCTTGTATATGCCTGGTGCTGAAATTATCGTCAATATAAAACATTATCAATGATAACATCATTTCTAAGTTTGCAATCGATTTTTAGAAGAAAAAAAAAATCGATAATTTTAGTTTAAATTATTATGCACAAAGACAATAGGCCTGCAAGTTAGCAAATTTCATGACCTTGTCCTAGATTATGGCTCAGAAAAGGGTGACAAAAGTAACGGTCATTATGTTTGCTTTGACTTTTTGTTGGTTCGTTTATATGGTGCGTTCGTTTATACTTTTTGTTCTTTTTATATATTCTTTTTTTTCTTCATTACTGTTATGTTCTGTATTTATACATTTCATTATATTCACTAAACTTAATTTCATTTGTTCATGTGTGCCGTGTTTATAGTCTCTCATTTAAAGCATCCATTTTGATTTTGAGAAGACCACACTGTTTTGACATAACGTAATAAATAAATCATGAAAGACAATTGATTCTAATAGCACAGACATGATTTTGAACAATGCCTGTTGCACACGAGGTTGCGTTTAGATTGCTTTATTTCCTTGCTTTAACCCTAATAAGGCCGGGGGGATTATGCCCCCTCCCCCCTCCATGATTTTTCTGATTGTTTGGGAACGCATATGGATGGCGCCCCGCCGCTAGCTGACTTTTTTCAATCGAGTCTTGCGCATCTTTTAAAAGATTTCTTTTGAAATTCGGACCTCCAGTTAGAAGGTCAGGTGACCTTTTGTCTTTGCATGTCAGCCCGAAAATCGCTTTCGTGATTTGTGTACAAAACATATGGAAATGTCATTTTTCCTAAAGATAGATCAAACATTGGGTATTGGGTCTTGTTTAAACTAACATCATTAAACATTAAAACTAGTTATCTTAATATGAAATGCATTGGAATGAGAATGACACCATGATGGAATAAAAAAAAAAACGCTTTCAGAATACTGTCCTGGCAATGTGACTTGCACATTGGTCACATCATTAAGACAACTTTAAAACTTTAAAAAAGTTTAAACAACTTTCTTCAGTCCCAGTAGACTTGACTTCTAGGCAGAGTATATTTCCAATTTCTGTAGTAATTATCTATTCATTAATTTTATGCAAATTAAGCGCACACTTTTTTTTTTCTTTTTTTTTTGGGTCTCGAAATTTGAAAATTTGACATTTTTCTTCGTTGGGGGGGGGGGGGGGTAAGGTCACCTTTTTTAGGTTAGCCGTGGGCATAATTTTTTTTTTTTTTTTTTTATTAAAAAAAAAAACCAAAGGGGGGGTTTAGGTTTTTTTAGGGGGGTTTACACACATAAAAATACCAAAGGGGGGGGGGTTAACCCCCCAAACCCCCCCCCCCCCCCCCGCGTACGCCCCTGTGCAGTAGTGTTGTTATAACCACATATTGCGCTATGGCAATATTGGAGCCAACACGGACAGACAGTGATGGGTTCAAGCTTGGTGGTCTCCAATTTCCTACGGTCTGCAATTCCCTACACCTACCCTAAGTTTTAAAAAAACAGTTTCAGTTCAGTTCAGTTTCAGTTTATTTTCATATTTCTCACATGTTGTATAGTACATCATTACATATAGCATGTTAATAAATTATCAAAACAAGAGATAACATAAGGAATAAGCTGGCTCTTCCAAATTTGTTGTCGTAGTATTCCAAATGGTCTAATGAATATATTTAATTTAAAAGAATGCTTAAATATGAATAATATATATGATTTATGGGTAAAAATGTGATTTCTATCACCTTAGTTGCATAAATTACCATAAATATGCAAATGAGTGAATTTTTCAAACATTTGAAATTATCATACTAAGCAAACATTAATCGACTACGAGGGTAATGGTACAAACTATCACCGAGGCGATGATAGTTTATATCCATTGCCCGAGTAAAGGAGGTTAATATTTGTTTTATATCCCACATTGGCAATAAGCTCTATTTAAAGTGAATTTTACATAATTAAAAGAACTGATTCTGCAGACAGTTCAGCTTCAGCTAGATTTTACAAAGCGTAACATGCATACATGTAATAAAGTCGATGCGCGCTCATTTGACATTGACATTGACATCGACATTTCGCATAACCTACTTTGCTATGCTTATTCAATGGGCAAGTGGGGCAGCAGCAAAAATTACTGGACAAAAGTCCCATCGCAGGGAGATATCTATCATTGATCATGTGACCTCGTTTAGACCAATCAGATTGCAAGATTCTTAGTATGAGGGATATAATATTGTATACACTTCACTTGGCATGCGTACAATTTTTCGCGGAGATTGGCCGTTTCACTGCCGAGATCTTAAGGGGGGGGGGGGGAGGGCATGATGCCCCCGGCCGTACTAAGACCTCAAATTAATAGCCCGGCATTTTTAGGGTTAACCGAGCTAGGTGACTCAGTTTGGACTATAACACCCTTAATTCGAAGAGAGATTTGCACTGTTTGATTTGCACTCACTTTACGGTACGATATTTCTCTCACATGGTGCGTCAATGCCTCCGCCCGTCGTTGACGCAGTCATACTCTAGGAACATTCCACATCGTGTACATTCTCTACATAGCAAATGTGGTGAGTAAAGCACTGTCAGTTGCACAATTTCAAATTCGAAAAGAAATATTACTGTATTTTTTCTAATAAATCATGATATTTTACACATTTCGGCCCTTTAACAAGCTTTGACATTTTCACCATGTAAATCCACGTAAAACCCTTTAAAAGTATGAGAGTGACATTTTGAAGGGAAGTCCAAAGCACAATTTCTTAACCCTGCTAAGGCCGGGGGGCCATTATGCCCCCCCCCCCCCCTCCACGATTTTCCCGGCCGATTGCTCGGGAACGCATATGGATGGCGCCCCGCCGCTCGCTGACTTTTGTCTTTCGAGTCTTGCGCATCTTTAAAAAAAAAAAGAATATTGAAAATCGGACCAACAGTTACAAGGTCACGTGATCTTTTGTCTTTGCATGTCAGCCCGAAAATCGCTCATTTTTGTGATTTGTGTACAAAACATATGGAAATGTCATTTTTCCTAAAAACTTGGTTATTGGGTCTTGTTTAAAGTTTTGGTGGTTGTTTTTGGAGTCAAAATAGTTGAATTGTAGTAAGAAATGAAATAAAACAACAAAAACAATAAAGTACATAAGTTAAAAAAAACAACGAAATACATAAGAAATTATAAAAACAAGAGATAACATAAGGAATAAGCTAGCTCTTCCGAATTTTGTTGTCGTATTTTATTCCAATTGGTCTAATAAAGATATGTAGTGAAAAAGAATGCTCAAATATGAATAATATATGATTTATGGGCAAAAATCTGATTTTATGGCTTTATTTGCATAAATTACCATAAATCTGCAAATAAGTGAATTTTTCAAAAAATTGAAATTATTCTATACACTTTACTTGACAAGCGTGCAAATTTTCGCCGAGATAGGCCGCTTTACGGCCGAGATCTTAAGGGGGGCCATAATGCCCCCCCCCCCCCCCCCCCCTCGGCCGTACTAAGACCTCAAATACCTTTTTAGGGTTTAAACAAATGAACAAGAGCTGCATGCAATACGGATGTAAAGCATATATTACGTCTAAATCTATGAATTTCAACATGATTCATTGGATGAATACTGAAATCGAGTGTTTGAGGCACTTTTCATTTCAGCCCACATTTCCTGTTTTTGTGCAAAGATTGTCTGATCCGTCTGATTCGTCTGATCAAGTGTGGTGCCATCTCTATGACATCTGAAAGAAATGATCATTATAGTGATGGAGAGAAAGGGAGAGAGAGAGAGAGAGAGAGAAAGAGAGAGAAGTGTAAATGTGTGCATCAGCATACAAACAGCACTACATTATAAAATAATCACATAGAGCAGTAAACGGAGGACAAAGAACAGAGCGTGAATATCACACAGCTTTACGTCAAACAGAGCCATCTTTACAAATTTAAAATTTATTTTCTTTTACAACATGTAAAGGGGCAAAGTCTGTTAATCAGTTAATGAGCACGTAGAAAACGTCTTAATACAAACATGCGCGAATAATGTAAAGAAATAAGCCAACATGTAATATGAAAAAATGGTAAATACCTTCAGTTTATCACTTTGCTAATCCAGTAACCTAAGCCAAGTTTTCCCCTTGAACATTCATGATTACACATTTCCAAAGGAATATTATTTTATGTGCACGCCATTGTCAACTCTTTGTTATATTACATTTTGCACAAATTAATTGATGTGAGACTATTTTTTTGTATTTTATTTTTTTAATCACGGTTAACATGCCTGCCATCAGCTAGAAGCTGCTTTTCAGCAAGGCCGTAAACAACAACTGAACACAACAAGTAAACGAATACAAATTATTATATACAAAAGAAATCACAAAAAAATATCATAACATAATAAGATGAAGACAAACAAGATGAATTAAAAATTACTTGGATAACAGAAACAATTGAGGGGTGTATTATTTAAGAGAGGGATTATTAGACGTGCGAATGTTGCCAGGCCGTTTTCGAATCGGATGTTTGCCGGTAGGTTATTGAAAAGTTTTGAGGCTGAATAGAGAGGGCTCTCTCTGAGGTAATTTGTATATGAGTGGTACATTATGTCAGTTCCTTTCCGATTCTTGATAAAAACAGAGATAACAATTAAACATAGTAACTAACACTTATTTATGTATGTCTATTATAGCATTTTTTTTTATTGTGAAGGGATACATCTACAACCAGGGTCTGAAAATCAGACTACTAGTTAGGGGATTGCATTCACTTATGTCGATTCGACAACTAACAGTCGTTATTTTCCCACAAACGCCATGTTCAAACCTTTTCTTTTTGAGGGAAGTCTTTAATAAGTATTGTCTTTCAAATGCCGTTGGAATCAACCTTTGCATTTGTTTGACCTGCAAATGGGACATGTAGTACTTTAAAGAGCACTGCAAGCCTGGAAGTAAGAGTTTGAAGGACTTACCTGCGGTCTGCCATGCTCCACCTCCACCTCCATGACCTGATATTTATTGCAAGCAATTATGGCATCATCCACGCCCTCATCTGACCTGCATCGTATGAATCTACCAGTATCAAAATAGACGGAATACAGCATTTCTCCTTTCGTGCTCCTCGTGATTTTTTTGTATTGTTTTTTTGGAAATGCTCATCAAAATTTGAAAGGCCAAATGCCCCAAATTTACGATTTTCTTTCATGATAGACTATTGTTAAACGACTAATCTCACCCATGGGCGAATGGTATGCAACCAATTGCAAATCATCTTAAAAAGGAATAATTTATGTTTATTTTGAGATATGAAAGATAAGTACTTTTTAATTATTTAATTTGAAAATTCGTAATTTAAATAGTGTGGGGGGGGGGGGGGGGCTGAGTGTATTATGGATAGTAATAATAATAATAATACATAACATTTATTAGGCGCTTAATACTGATGTTTCTAAGCGCACAGTGTTCTGATTAAGAGAAGACTATAACCCGTAGAATTAAATTAGAAGAAAAAGCAAAAATACAAAAGTAACATAGATAAGGTAAGAAAAACAGTGGCAATCAACTAAATAAAGACAAATATGGTGCGCACCTCAATTGACCGACGCACAACTACAATTTACAATTTGAAAAGATAGGTTTTGAGTAGAGATTTGAATTGAGATACAGAGGGGGCGCAGTGAATAAAGGCGGGCAGTTTGTTCCAGAGAGCGGGGGCAATAACTGAAAAGGCGCGGTCACCATACCGGGTGTTAGTGCGGGGTCCAGGTGTTAACAGTAATGTGGAAGATGAACGAAGTGTTCGTGACGACGTACGGGAACGTAAGGATATGAGATCGGAAAGGTAAGAGGGGGCTAAGCCATTGATAGCTTTGTAGCACAGGAGAAGAATTTTGAAGGATATGCGGTGGTGAATTTTAAGCCAATGTAGTGAGTTCAATATTGGAGTTATGTGCTCTGATTTACGCGAGAGAGTCACAAGCCGAGCAGCGCTATTCTGTACCCTTTGAAGTGGGACTAGATGTGACTGAGGGAGGCCAGAGAAAGAGAAGAATTACAGTAATCGATATGGGTCGAGACAAAAGCATGGACTAATTTTGAAGTTGTGGGTCGGTCAAGTAGCCTCCTGATTCTACTGATCTTATATATACCAAAGGAAGCAGACTTACAAATATTACTAATGTGTTGTTTGAAAGTAAGATTGCTGTCAATATTTAAAAGGAATTTTAATAGGAAAAAAGATGGGAGAGATAACGATAGAGAGAGAGAGGGAGGGATCGAGAGGGTAAAAGAAATGAAACATCAAAGTGCTCTTTTAACAAATGACATCATGTCTCACCTGATAATCTTCAGATGTTTGAGGTTGTGAGGTGATCTGAAAGCTTGTAAGATTAGTTCCATCTTACTGTTACCAATGTCAAGATCGCTGAATGTCACCTTGACAAGCTGAGGGGAGATAATCAGGAGGGCATTGGGTAATGAAGTGTGATCCACGTGGAAACCAGTCGGTGGACGTACATACTCATGTTTTTGAATGGTGAGTTCTGTTGCTCCTGGTAGATGGATCCTCTGGATGACGTCACAGTTGATCGTGCTCCATACCTGTATAGTGACCCTCTTCACATTGTCAAACATCGAACCACAATCCTGCCATCCTTCTAATGTGAGATCATCCACTGTCAGCTCAGCCAGGGTGGGGCTCGTGTTACAACTCTGGTCGTTATCATGTACATACAAAAAAGAAATTAAAGTACACTAGCACACATGTAGTAGGTTCGATTGTTGGTAAATATAATAACGTTTCATGAAGAAAAAAAAAACACTATGAATATGACGGACAAAGAAAGCGGACAAAATATACGTTCCTCAGGTAGACAAATGAACATCCCTTCACTGCTATTATGTAAAAAGGTGAATATGCATGTGACACCTGTTCTACACCTTTTTACATAATAGCAGTGAAGGGATGTTCCTTTGTCTACCTGAGGAACTGTATATTTTGTCCGCTTTCTTTGTCCGTCATGTTCATAGTGAAAGCAACCCAAATCGTGAAAATGGATTATGCTAGCCTCATGGGTATTGTAGAATATAAGCAAGGATTTTTAAAAGACATTGCCCGAGCAAATGCGAGAAAGCTTTTGCAAAAGCAAGTATAAGTTGCATGATAGTCAAAGTCAATTTTCTGAAATCTTTTTGCTTTCATGCAATGCAATTGTACATGTTTATCATTCATTATTTCCTAATAGAGGTATGTTAAAAGCAAATACAGTTTATAGATTCAATGAAACGGAAACCAGCCTAATTTTACCATACGTTAGGATAAACATTTACTAAATAATTTCAAATAAGTCAAACGCAAGTATTCCGTACATCGTATATGCAATAATCAAATACAATGTAACTAAAATACATGTATCAGAGTCTGAAATAGTAATATTGAAAATTATTTGTTTTTTAAATGTATATTTAAACCTTTATCGAGATATATAGAGTTAATTGATCATATTACCCGAATTGTGATATACAGTGGGCCGTTTAAGAATGTCCGATGTCAAATTTTACTGCAGGATTAACTGCTATTTAATATGAAACATGCCTACAGGTACAATTACATATATACCACCATATAATTGAGCGCAGACGCGTACGCAGCGGGGGGGGGGGGGGGTGAACCCCCTCAAATTGTGTATGTGTGTGATTTTTGATGACCCCCCCCCCCGCCCCCCACCCCTCAGTTTTAGTTTATTAACTAAAACAAAAAAAATTATAAAAAAGTGACCTTACCCCCCCCCCCCAAAAAAAAAAAAAAAATATATATATATATATATCTTTAAAGCCCCTCTTCATACTTAATTATGTATTATAATTGTTCTGTTTTTTATCTTCTTAATCGTTTGATTGAAATGTCATACTTTTACAATGTTTTTTTTTTTTTATTGCCCATCTTTTTTTTACACAGTGTTTGAATTGATGTTGGAATTTGGAAATAAATGATTTGAATTGAATTGAAAGTGTTGGGAGCCACAAATTCGCCAAAAATATGACGGCAAAATTTCACTTAATTACATCATAATGTGAAAAAGGACACCATTTAAGACACATTTCTGCAAAGATCCCCCCCCCTGACAAAAAATGTTGATATTGATGACATCCTCTTTTACAATATGATACAATTTAGGTGAAATCTTTCCATCAAATTGTTTGGGCCCCCAACACTGACCAGCAATGATGAGTCTATTTACTTTGAGTTTATTTCTTTGTAAGCGCTATGGAAGTTTGTATTTAGCTTCTCTAAATATTCGATACATAGTGAGATGGAGAAGAAGAAAAAAACAAGACCTATGACATTTAAGCGCCGTTGTGGGTGGGTGAGGGGGGGGGGGCATATTGCAAAATTACGGACCCATTCTTATTTTGTATAATTATACCAGATTGGGTTTTGCCGAAGGAAGGGGGTGGAGCGTTTGACTCTATTCTCGATCCGCCATTATTTATCCCGTTAAGTGATCTTGTGGTGCAAGCGGATATCGTTGCTGACACTCAGCGTCTTGTAACACCTGGAAAAGGAGCTGTTTGAATTTGATTATTAGTACTCTTATTATTATTATTATCATTATAATTATCCTCTGAGATACAAATCTCCAATGAAAAGGGTCTCAATCTGTCGTGCAAACTATTACCTGATTAATCTAGTGAAAAACAGAATTACAGGCCCTTGGTGTATATTTTTTTTTTATGGATTATCACCAGTTTAACCTGGCTGCATTGATGATAATTATGCCTAATGTTCACATTTTAACAGTCCCTCCTAGATATAGCTGTTGTGACAGTTGCACTTAATTACTTTATCACCCAAGTCATTTGTTTCTTGTACTATTGATGCATGACATGAATACACATATATTTGTAATAGCACTTCCTCAGGCAAGGTGCCTAGTATAGCGCCATCTATTGATATTCACTTGATATTAAACACTCAGAAGGCTAAATAGACATGGTTGTGTTGAGGTACAAGAATCCCCTTTTTGCTAGAGCATCAAGGAGATTTCAGTCATAAGGTTGTCATTATGTCAGGCAAAGAGGTTATATTGAATGTATTTCTATGAATTGTCGGAACATAAAGTGTAAATTAGTGTGTATGTTTTGAACTTCTTACTGAGAGATATTGATGTTAGTATGTAGTGTAATGTAAGCCATGCAAGCCCATGATGTTATCATGTACATTTAACTTGTATCAAGAACAAAGATAACAGTGGTGATACTGCTAAATACTTTAAAGATATAATTATGAGAGTGCTGAAGCACTAAGTATAGAGATTTGGAATTTATAATTGTTTAGTTAATTGTTTAAACAAGCTATAGTGAAGTCTAGCTGAGACACTGGTAGTGCGAGTTTGTATTTAAAGCTATAATGCGGATGGACTAGAATAGGAACACGGGTTATTTTAATGAGTTATGAAGATCATGACACAATGTAAATTATTTTATGAGTTTCTCAAAGAGACTGTGTTTATTGCTATGTTGATGATGCTATGATGTACTTGTATTTATGATTCTTTATCTGTGATTTCTCCAGTTTTCACGGAATGAAACGGAATACACTGGTACGGAATGAAACGAAATGGAATGTATTGGTACGGAATGAATTGGAACGAAACGATTACTCCAGTTAAAGAGCTATGAATTCCCGTAGAAGCCTTTGTTTAGACTTTGATTTGTTGTCGACCTCGCTGCAGCCACAATAGCTTTGAAAGAACTAATAGAAGTGATCAATTCATGCTCATCATAGAAGCGGTCCATTGCCATTTTTCAATATATTTGGATGAAGTATAGCTATGACGTTTGTTCGTTTTTGTATTATGACAGAAACTTCATCTTTTTCTACCTGCTTCCTTTTAACGGTGTAGTACTTTGAACAGTAAAATCGTACAATTTCGTTTGACTATACAGAAAAGAGTACACTTAAAGTAAAACAAAACATGTAGTGATTGCTTAAAATCCTAAAATGTATGATCAAACCAATACCTTTGCGGATGATGCTATCGATGATGATGTTGAGTAGAAGTCATCGTGATACTGACCAATGATTAGCGACATGTTCTTCAGATGAGCTATCTTGAGCGAGATCGCGTGATGCAGATAGAGGGACGTCCCCTGAGATCAGCAGAGTAGATGGCAAGAGTCTCAATCTGTTATGATAGTAACATTATCTTGAATAATTACAAATAACAACCCAATAAAACATATCCACCAATTAACAATATCTTTAAAATTATATTAATATCGTTGCCACAATGAAAAACTCTTAACACAATTACATTTATTGTGTAATAATGTACAAGTCTTGAAACCTGAAATTAGCACTAATTGCAATAGTTCGTGGATTTATTTTGAGACCGGGATAATGGTGTTTATTCATAACATATAGGTAATGACAGAGGTGATCTATATGTTTTTGATTGATCCAATCGGTACTCTGGGCATTACGGATAAAGTCAATGATCATGTTTTCTAGATCACATGGTGACATGGACCTGTTGACTGAGGGATTAGTGGGTATGAATGAAGGACTTCGAACATGATCTCAAGTCTTACGGAGCAAAAGAGGATGAAACAATATTGCAAGAAGGCAGGACGGTCACAAACCAGGGGACACGTCCTCCCCCCCCCCAAAAAAAAAAAGAAAAATAGGGTATGCCCCCCTCCCCCCAATTTTTGGAAGTCTTGTTTCTCGTATAATAGGCTCTATGGGGCCCAACTTCTTAAAATCGTGCTTTAGATTTTAGATATAAACCATTATCAAGGCTAACAAGGGGCGTAGACTTTTCCAGTTCTCTGATTGGTGAAAACTGGTATTATCATCGATCATCAACCATGATTATTCGCGCGGATCTTGGTGGTGTATGATAGTGCTGGTGTGTGTCGTGTGCTACAAGTACCCTTACCGACCAAATGACATGACATAAGATCAAGATCAGCATATGTTTTATTCCTCTTAAAATACTCCTTAAATATGTTAATCAAAGTTTGTAGAAAGTCTTAGAGGAAAATGTCAATGGGGTATATTCACAAAAACAAGCAATTGCCATATAGGCTTTTGACATGCTGCAAATGTACGATGCTCAGTTGCTAATGCTCCTTAAATAATTTTTCTACCACAATATTGAGAAAGAAAAAAGTTGGATCACTTCCCGGGGACACAAACAACAGTGGTTGAATGGTTGATTTTGTTCCCTTATTCCCGGTAACTGATAATAACGAGTATTTCTATTTCAGCAGTTTTCTGCACACGATTGTGGCATTCTTCCAGATTAACAAACAGTGTAATCGGCGTGCTGGTTTAACACGCAAGTAGTGCTCTTTTCATTCTCGTCATCTTGTGTGTATGATTGGTAAATTATGTACCCTTTTAACGTAAGCGATGTGTATTAATAATTTAAACACCTTTTTCTTCAAAAATGTGTTTGTTTTTGATACCCTCAATGAGATACGCACGTTCCGCCTCCAACGGCAATACCCTTTTCCTCGGTGTTTGTGTACGCACATGATGTACACGCTGGAATATAAGTTACCCCGGGAAACAATCGCATCTGTTATTTTGGGATTGTATGTTTGAGTCATTATGACTACTAATATCTCATATTCATAAATATCATTATTTCAGATCAAGAGGCCCTTAAAATGGCAGACATGTTTTCAGTGGCGTAATGAGCAAAAACGTTTGGGGGCTGACAAAAAAAATCCGCAGCACCCAGCTCTAACATGCTGGCCCCGCTGAACGTTTCGCAAAGTGGGGTCTAGGGGCGAAGCCCCCGAAGCTCAAGGGGTATGGGCATCAGTGGCGGATCCAGGAATTTCTTACCGGGG